ACCTTTGCCCCCCCCCCCCTCCCCCTCCCCACCCCAAATTTCCAAAAAGAAGAATTTTTTTCTTCTTCTTCTTGTTTGGGAATGTGTAAAGATTGAATCTTGGGAACAAATTTTGTTGACAGAGGGGGAAGGAAAGGGAAATAAATGATGGATTCAACAGTGACATTGATTCAAAACTCAGACCCCATGAATATATCTGCTACTACAACCACAATTGTATCTTATGGCTCTTGTTCCTTTTTAACAAATTGTCCTTTGCTCTCTGCTATCATTGCTTTTGCCCTTGCACAATCCATTAAATTCTTCACTTCTTGGTACACCCCATTTGAACTAATTTTGGATCTAGATGGTTTTTGCTTCCATTCAAGAAACCTTAATGAAAATTGTTTTTTTTTATATATATAGATAGCTATTCAAGAAATCTTGTCATTAGGATTCTCATACCATTTGTTGCTTTAGACTTGAGCATTGTTAATTGTGGTTCATAATATCCAACAAGGGTTGTGGTTGAGTGGTAAATATTCCTTCATCCTTAATTAAATGTCTCCGGTATGTGTCTCCCTAATTACGGAGTCGCGTTTGTTAGGAAACACCTAACCCCAATGTGAGACCTCCCAACGTGAATCTGAATTTAGTTGGGCTCCAATATGGATACTGAAGACCAGGTGGGAAACCAAAAAAAATAAAATAAAATTGTGGTTCATGACATGCTTTAAGACATTATGTGGCTATGTGTTTGGGCCTTAATCAGAGGTATCATGTTCGAGTCCCCCCTGTGTACAGAGTCGCCTTTGTTAGGTAGCACTTTACCCTCAATGTGGGATTTTTCAATGCAAATCCTGATTTAGTTGGGCTTTAATGTGGGTAGCAGACACCAGGTGAGAAACTAAAAAAATAAAAATAAAATTGTGGTTCATAATATACATGCTTTAAGACATTATGTGGCTATGTGTTTGGGGGAAGGAATCAATGGAAGGATTGTAGAGATGTCTTATTACCTATTATTGGTGTTGAAATTTTGCTTTTGTTTGTTCTATGTACATAATACTGAATTACATGGTGTAACCAACATGTTTTGACATTATGGAAAATGATTACATCTTTTAATTCCAAGTATGTTATAGGTACAGAGAAAAACATTGGGATCTAAAGCAACTTGTTGGATCTGGTGGAATGCCATCGTCTCATTCATCAACCGTGACTGCTTTAGCCACGGCTGTTGGTTTGCAAGAAGGCTTCGGAGGATCGCTCTTTGCTATAGCATTAGTTTTAGCATGTGTGGTGTGAATTCCTTCTCATCCTTACTATCAAGTCATACTTAAATGTTTAACATTTCTATGCATTTAGTAATCCATGTGTAGCCTGTGCTATTCTCTCTGCATTGCAGCTGGTGCTAGGATAGTTATAGTCCAATTATGAATAGGATGTATCGATTCCTCTTTTAACGAGTGATCACATTTTTGGATTTGGCATGGCTAGCTCTACAAAAAGTACTTCCTTTGATCTATTTCCATGACATTGTTAACGTAAACCATTTGTCCTTTGTTCCGTTCTCGCCAATTGTCCTCATAAATAGCAAGTTCCGCTTTGATAGTACATTAGTTTGATACATCACAACAATCAGAAAAATTGGGGCTTTCTTCTTATTTGGTCTTATGTTGCTTTTCGTGTTACACGAAAGATCTCTCAGGTGGTAAATTTTTGTGGCAGGTGATGTATGATGCTACAGGTGTAAGATTGCACGCTGGACGTCAAGCAGAGGTCTGATGCTTCTGTTGCTTTAGCTATGTAGATATCGTAGTTCACATATTCTGAAATTCATCGGAAATGTTTGGCTGTTCTTTTACAGGTTCTGAATCAAATTGTATGTGAACTTCCTGAGGAACATCCTCTTGCAGACACCTTACCGCTGCGTGAACTCCTTGGTCACACACCCCCTCAGGTTTCTCTTCAACTTTAAGAAAATTTGTGTGTAAGTTAGATCAGTATTTATATAAGTACTTGTGAGGATGTCCTATTTTTCAGTGTCTTCGTCGCAGTAGACAATCTTGTCTTTGACCTTCTCTCGATACGACAATCATCAACATGTTGTATCAGAAGATGCTATAGGTTTAACAATCCATTCTGCATAGAATAAAGTTTAAAGTATCTCTAAACAATGTTATATCAAAATACTCGTGTATTTTTAGTTCCCTTGAATGATATGGTAAAAACTGTTTTAGAAGCTCAGAGAATGGAACTTTATAGAAAGCTATGTTGCACCGCGAATGCAGGTTATTGCCGGTGGATTCTTAGGATTGGTAACAGCAACAATTGTTTGGTTGATTACGAGCTCTGCATATCGAGCATGACACTAAAGAGGTTGTTGTGACCTTTGACATAAAAGGCAGTTACGCTACGAAATAGTTTTGTTCCATTTCTGGATTGCCCTACATGATTTTTTTGAAGTCAAGTGAAATCCTCTTTGTCACTGAAATGTATAGATTACAGTTGCAATCATCCATTGTAGGAGTTTATACACACATTGTAAATATTGATTTTTTTTGGAATTTTGGCTACAAGAAACAGCAATATTGTACTTTTAACTATGGTAAAATGAAAGTTATTCTCCTTGGTTGTGGATTGTACTTTAACCCTATGGACTTCTTAAATATGCTTAAATATATAAATGGTATGTATCAAGCTTGTTACAAATATAGTTGATACGAGATCAAATGAAAGACTTGGTGAAAATGTTTGTAAGCTGGTCATTTGACTTCACGAATTTTATATCGTCTTTGAAGTAGTCAAGAATTGAACAAGCACAGAGCATGCCTTGGGCACATGAACTGATTTGCTAAATTGAGCATGACATACTAAATGCATTAATTAGGAAACTTGTTATGGACTATGGAGTATAATCATTTGTTAGTGAGTACCAATATAAATTAGCATAAGATTATCGAAATAAACTAAAGAATTTGAAATAATGAACCATGAACCCATGATAAAAGTACAGAAAACAATGTTTAATTTGCAAAGTTCCAATGCAAAAGAAATTAAAGAACTCCCAAAAATATAGTGAAATTTAGGGGTGATTTGCACATATATGTTATTTTTGTATCTGTATTTAAAAATTATCCTCGATTTTGACAAGTACTTACAAATGACTTGTTATGTTTAATAGTTCAACAATAATTGTCCACTATTGATTTGGCACACCCCTTAAGAAACTATAAATAGAAGAGTAATTTTACTATATCACCCTTTGAATATAATAAATACAATGTCTTAAAAAATATAATAGAGAAATGACTATAATTTATGATAAGGGTAAATTAGGAACTAAGTGTAAAATTATTCATAAATTTCATAAAGTGTACAAGTATTGTTGGACATCTATTTTTAGTATAGTGGACAAGTATTATTGGACGGAGAGAGTGATAACATTTCAGACTAAAATACCTCTAGGGTGAGTGGTGGAGATGGTAAAGCCACAATTAATAGGATTTCATGCTATATTATGTTGGAAATTTACAAAATCTATTGTCACGAATGTTTTTAGTCTTTACTCCGGATACCTTATTTAAACTTATTCTATTAATTACTTTACTAGATTATGGCTGAATATTTTATGTATCATGAATGATACATTATAATCATTTGGGGAATAAGCATCAACTAATATTGTGATAGCAATCACGATAATACAAAGAATGCAATCATTATCCGGAATGATTGGGCGTAAAGCGTCTATGATGCATGACTTTCGTCAGCTCTTACCGTAAGGTATTGAGTTAAGTCCCGCAACGAGCGTAATCCTCGTTTTTAGTTGCCATCATTGAATTTGAAATCTTGAATAAATTGTTGATAATAAGCAGAAAGAAGGTGAGGATGATGACGCCATGTCATCATTCCCCTTAGGCGATACATGTGCTACAATGGCACGGACAAAGGATCGTGATTCCGTGAGGAGCTAACCCCAAAAACTCGTCCTCGGTTCGGATTGCACGTTGCAACTCGCCTGCAACTGAAATTACTAGTGAGCGCTGTTTCCAACTGTTGTTCCCCTTTCAAGGACAGGTTCTTACGTGTTACTCACCCATTCATCATTGAAAACATTGTTTTCCATCCGACTTGCATGTGATAATAAGCATGCCACCAACGTTCATCCTGAGCCAGGAAACCTCCATGAGATTCACAATTGCATTACTTATAGCTTTGTCGTTTGTAGACAAAGTGGAATTTTTAGTTTATACATCATATAAATTTATTTCATTTACCCTATTGAATAACTTTTAGTTTTCATTCATGACACTTGATATACATTTATATCATTTCTCTACCGAATTATCATAATTCTAATTTTTCACTTCTCATAGTTACTCATATAAACTTATTTCAAAATAAAAAAATATAATAGGGATATTACTTGAAGACCATACTTGTGATTTTTCATCATCATCATCATCATTAATAGATCTGGGAGTTTGGTTGGTGGATGTTTAGTACTTCATGGACAAGAAAAATTAAATCATCCTTGTGTTTGAGTTGCACCAAAAGTCAAAAAAAATAATTACCTGCACTAGGTCCATACTTCTGAACCTATTGTCACAATTCTCTCTCTCACACAACATAGGGGTGGGGTGGGGTGGGATGAGATTGGGCGAGTGAGAAAATTAGTTCATAAAAATATAATTCATTTAATTTATTTAAGTTTGGAGTGGATTTTGATCCATCTATCATCTATGTATTAGCTAATTTATTTCAGTTTAATTAATATGTAGCCAAAATGACCCCGAGCAATTTAATTAAATTTTCAAACAAATATTAAAAATTATAAAATAAATAAATAAAACAATAAAATTTAGTAAAAATTGAACGGATTGAGTTATGTGACCCATATTTTAGCTCATTTCAATCTAATCTATTTCAGAGCAAGTAACTTTGAACCGCTCATTCATCAACTCTATATATCTTGACCGACTCAAATTTGATTCAACACCACTCATTTGGCATCTCTAGTTGTGAAACCTTTACATATTAATAATATTCTGCACTCATTTGACTTGAAAACATGAAGTAATTTGCTTAATTTAATTAATGCTATCAATGTAAGGCATGATCCAACCTCATAGACTTAGGCCCTTACCGATACTTATATTGTCGTCTTGTTATATTATTGAGTAAATTTTAGGTTTAGCAAACATAAAAATTATATTTGTATGCTATAGCTATAGTTTGTATAATTGCGCTCCATAACAAACTTTATATGACTATTAATCTATATATTTTGGTATACATACACATTAAAATTATGTATTTGGGTCTATTTGTATATTTCGGTATACAAGTGAGTCCTGCATTTGTATATTTCGGTATTCAAATGGGTCCTGCATTTGTATATTTCGGTCTGTATTTTTCGATATACAAATGAGTCATGCATTTGTATATTTCGGTATACAAATGGGTCTTGCATTTGTATATTTAGGTCTATTTGTATATTTTGGTATACAAATGGGATGACAAAAAACATGGAATGTTTTGCTGTGAATTTACAAATAAAAGAAACTATGGCTATAACATTTAATTTGAATTAATAGTTTGCTATTTCATACAATTTTCCCTATATTATATAGTACTCCCTCCGTCTCATTTTATGTGAGACTTTTCGGATTTCGAGATTCAAATAAGTCTATTTTTAATAGTAATTTTTTCATAAATCTTTTAAATATTTTGAATTATCAATTATTGTGACTTATAGTGTTTTTACGTGGTTTACAAATATATAAATTTCATTTCAAAAAATTGAAGATTCTATACGTAAATTTCTGATCAAACTCAAACTGTTTGACTCTCGAAAAACGAAAAGTAAAACTAATGGTAAACTTGAACATCGCACTTTGATGTATAATGCCAAATGTCTTAATATTTCACAAGTTAATTTTATATACGACGAACTCTTTTTCGATTCAATTTACAAATTACATTATTCTACTTATCTATATGATTACGCCAAATTCAATAATTTAATTTTTAATGACAAAAAGATAAACTAAAAACACACACAACTTAACTATATCACCAACATGAATTGTGGTGCATTGGTGGGAGTGTTTCACCCTTAATCAAAGGTTTCGGGTTCGAGTCCTGTGTATGAAGAAAATCTTGTAGGGAGCGCTACCCCTGAATGGACCATGCAGAACGCGATCCAAATTCAGTTAGAGCTCCAACTTTTTGGTGAAGGCGGAACTTTATTTCACAAAAGACACGTATCTTATTTTCGTTGATTTAGCGGATAATTGTTTACCCATTAATTTATTCTGTCTCAATTTCCATGACTTGATTTATTTTTCGTTCTAGATTAGCTTTCCTTCCCCTTTCATGGTTTAGACTTCTAACGTAACACTATGTATTGTAATTTTAAAAGAACTTTTCTTTCTTAGTTTCCTAATGGAGTTTTAGCTTTATTTTATGTCGGTTAGGTTACAAATTTGTGTCGTGGAAATAGTCTTGATAGAAATACAAAATAAAATTATATATAATAAACTCTTATGTCCGGCTTTTTCTTTAAAAAAAAACGCATATAACGAAAGCTTACTGGACTGTACTACCTTTTAATTCAATAAGTTAGTTGGGAGTTACTCTATTTTTAAAGTTAGAATATATCTGATTATATAATCTTTCAATGAATAAAACTGAAGATCTAATAGGATGAGTCATATACATTACATTTAGGTCAAAGCTATCTCATTTGGTTTACATGTTGAGGCTAAAGTTAAGAAATTCTATCCTGGATTAACTATGGAAGTGCACATGGTTTCAAGGGTGTACAAAATCAAATCGAAAATCGAATCAAACCGCAAACAGAGTCAAACCGAGAGAAAAAATTCGACTAGTGGTTGGTTTGACTTGGTTTGGTATTGAAAAAAAACCCCGACTATATTTGGGTTGGTTTGGTTTTAACTAAAAAAAAACAATCCAAGACCAAACCAACCCGACATTATATTTAATTTTAAAATTTTATTTTATACATAAAAATATTTACTTTGATATAATTTTTAAATGTTTCTTATACTTTTTCATAGTTTTTATCTTTTAATATATTATTATTTCAAATTGAAAACTTAGAATTCTGAATGGTTCAATAAAGATTATAATCCACAGAATTACGATAAAGCTTAAAGCAAAAAAAATAATCAATTCAACACTAAGAATGACAATAATATTGAATATTTATTCTTTGGTTTACATTGGTTTAGACAATTCAAATACATAATCTAATTTAATTTCCTTTAATATTTAGTCATGTAACTAATACTTATTAAACTTATTTTAACATGATTTAGTACTTTAAATTATGATCATTTTCATTATGACTTCATGTTAATTTGCAATATTTGTTTTACGCGATTTCATTATTATTATTATTAT